AAAATTTAACTTAAAATGGATCAAGGACCTAGGAATTAAACTAGAGACTCAATATCTAATAGAAGAAAAAGTAGGCCCTAATTTTCATCATGTGGGATTAGGCCCCAACTTCCTTAATAAAACTCCTATAGTGCAAGAATTAAAACCAAGAATCAATAAATGGGATAGAATCAAACTAAAAAGTTTTTTCTCAGCAAAAGAAACAATCTGTGAGGTTAACAGAGAGCCTACATCCTAGGAGCAAATCTTTACCCCTCACACATCAGATAAGAGAACTAATCTCTAGGGTATATAAAGAACTCAAAAAGCAAAGCACTGAAAAAACAAATAACCCAATCAACAAATGGGCCAAGGACCTGAACAGACACTTCTCAGAAGAAGATATAAAATCAATCAACAAATATATGAAAAAATTCTAATAATCTCTAGCAATCAGAGAAATTCAAATCAAAACTATTCTAAGATATCATCTCACTGCAGTCAGAATGGCAGCTACTATGAAGACAAACAACAAGTGTTGGCGAGGATGTGGAGGAAAAGGTACACTCATACATTGTTGGTGGGACTACAAATTGGTATAGCAAATATGGAATGCAGTATGGAGATTCTTGAAATCTGGGAATGGAACCACCATTTGACCCAGGTATCCCTCTCCTTGGACTATACCCAAAGGACTTAAAAACAGCATACTACAGGAACACAGACACATCAATGTTTATAGCAGCACAATTCACAATAGCTAAACTGTGGAGCCAACCTAGATGCCCTTCAGTGGATGAATGGATACAAAAAATATGGCATATATACACAATGGAATTTTATTCAGCAATAAAAGAGAATAAAATCAAGGCATTTGCAGGTAAATGGATGGCTTTGGAGAAGATAATGCTAAGTGAAGTTAGCCAATCCCAACAAAACAAATGCCAAATGTTTTCTCTGATATAAGGAGGCTGAATCATTGTTGGGTAGGGAGGGGAAGCATGGGAGGAATAGATGAATTCTAGATAGGGCAGAGGGGTGGGAGGGAAATGGAGGGGGCAGAGGATTAGCAAGGATGGTGGAATATGATGGACATCATTATCCAATGTACATGTATGAAGATACGAATTGGTGTGAACATACTTTATATACAACCAGAGATATGAAAAGTTGTACTGAATATGTGCAATAAGAATTGTAATGCATTCTGCTGTCATTTGTTTTTTAAAAATCAATAAAAAAAGAAAATGTGATATATACTATGTTTATAGCAGCTCAACTCACAAGAGCCAAGCTATGTAACCAAACCCAGTGCCCATCAAGAGATGAACAAATAATGAAAATGTGGTATATATACACAATGAAATATTACTTAGTCATAAAAGAGAATGACTTTATGACTTTTGCTGGTAAATGGATGGAACTGGAAACTATCATGCTAAGTGAAATAAGCCAATCCCAAAAAACCAAAGGCTGAAATCTTCTCTCTGATATGTGGATGCTAACACACAACAAGGGAGTGAAGAGATAAATAGTAGTTCAGTGGATTAGACAAAGGGGAACAAAGAGAAGGGGGGACTAGAAATAGGAAAGATAGTAGAATGAACTGAACATAAATTTTCTCTGTTATTATATGAATATACCACAATGAATCCCCATATCATGTATGACAAGAAGACTGGGATCCCATTAGGAAATAAGCTTTACTCTATGAATGTATAATGTGTCATATTGTCATATACATCTAAAAAGAACAAACAAAAATAAATAAATGAATGAATTTGTATTAAAAAAAGAAAATGTGATGAATAGTCAATGAAATTCTGTCATTAACAAGAATACATATATGAACTCAGAGGACATTAAGTGAAATAATCCCAAGACAAACAGAGAAAAACCATAATGTCACTCATATGTAGAATCTAAACAAGTTGATATCATGGAAACAGTAGAACAGTATGTACCAGGGACTGGTTGGTGCTTGGAGTAAACAGCAGAAATGCAAGTCCAAGAACACAAAATTTTAGGTAGACAGAAGGAATAAGTTCAGGAGATATATTGGACAATAGGATAACTGTACTTCGTGACAACATATTGCAGTCTTAAAAATTCAAAAGAGTGGAAATTGTGTATTCACCACAAAAATTATAATTATGTGAAGTAATACTTTCATTGGTTAGCTATATTTAACCATTCCACAGCCTATCTATATTTCAAAACATGGTGCATGTTGTACACAATAAATAGCTAGGTTCTTCATCAATTTAAAAAAAAATAAAAATATATCAAATCAATAGCTAAAGGCCCTAAATATGAGACATGAAACTTCACGATACTTCATTCAAAATATCCAAGCTTTCACAGATTGTCTGAATCCTACATAGTACCTGATTGTCACTAATAGTGTGAGTTTTATCTTCAGATGGGCCCAATATGCAGTCCATAGTTGCCACCCTAATAGTGTATATGGTAGAGCTCAGGAAAATAGTTTCTTGCGGCTGAAGACCATGAATGACTATGGTCATCATGGCAGATCCAGAGATCCCAGAAACAATGGGAAGAGGACATTAAAACCTCTAGACTGACGAAGGCTCTGGGTGGCACTAATGGGAATTCCTACTGTATTTAAGACACATTCTAGCACTTTTTGCTGTTGGATGGCCCACCCTTAGGGGAATTATTGGTGGTTAACAGCATAAAGGATGGAAATAAAATATGTAAATGAGGAATGTATTGCCTCTGAGATGTAAATAAACAGTGTGGGGCCCTTGGATCATCCCTGGGCTGACTAGTAGTTTTTCTGACATGTTCAGGGCCCTCAATTTTATGGGAAGCAATTACTAAATCTCAATAGAAAAGTTCTATGACATGTGTTCATATATGCCATGCAAGTGTATCCTTGGAATTTCCTCACATAAGGACGTTATCAGTGTAATAGGAGACATGTCTTCCTAGAAAGGTTGGATATGGTTAAGATGTGCCTGTATCAAATTGTAACAGCAAACCGTTTTCCAGTTGTAGTCATTCTATGGCATTCCAGTTGTAGTAATTCTATGTAGTAATTCTATAGTGGAAATCCACTATAATATACCATTCACTTATATCAGGTTTGAGTTCTGGACACCTGGCTTGTTAAAAGATAAACAACAGGAACATTATCAAGGCCAGGCATACCCATCCCCAGGAGTCTCACTCCATGGCTCTCAACTTATCCACAAACCTCGTAGTTAAGTCATATTCTCTTGTGGAATCCTTATATCATGGTCTCTGGAGCCTCTCTTCTCAGCCATATGTTTACAATTTGTTCTCAAAATTGTCAACAACTGAGGTTCATTATCACATTTTGAATTTGAGTCCACAGGGCATCTTTAGCTTCTTCAGGAAATTGATCCCCATGTGTCTGCTTTAAAAAGAGCAGATAAAACTCTGTCACTCTTGGTAATGGAAACTGCAAAGAAGCCCTTTGCCTGCCTTCTTACACATAAAATGTCTTAGGACAGAAATACAAGAAATTCTGATTCTCTCAAATTCTTCCAATTCTATAACTCTTGGCAAAAGTGTTGCTTTTATATCACTATTTTATTTATTTATTTATTTTAGTGCTTGGGATTGAATCCAGGACCTTGCTTTTGTTATTTCTACACTTGTAAAAAACTGTGTCAGAAACTGTCATTTGATTCTGGCATGTATTTTTGGAATAGAAGAAAATATTCTTCTCTAGTTCAGCCCCAAACCTTGGATACTTGTATTAAGAGGACAGAATGTGGAAGGCAATCTAAGGGTTGTTATATGAATGGAAAGCCAATAGAAAGCATGTCAGATTTAAGATTATTCAGAGATTCACATGGCACACTTTATCTTTGTCTTACCTCTGAAGAATGACAAGGTAAACAGCACTCTACACACATTTAGATTGTCTAATGTATGAGCATCATGTATTTTTTAAATCATCAATGATATAATTATGTTAATGTGGGCCATGAAAGCAATTAATTGTAAAAATCTGGAAGAAAATGCAAGACTTGCCAAAGGCCACAGGTTAGTATAAAGAGGGACAGGAGGATTGTTAGAGATCCTGGTCAATGTTTAATATCACCTACTACCTATAAAATCTATATGGGAAAATGTAAAGTTGATGAGCATAATTTTGATATGATTATCTAAAAATGAACACAGAATGTCTCCACAAATTATCCCTCCCGGAAAATTACCAATTTATCTATAAAAAACTCTTATTGTTAAACACACACACACACACACACACACTATAGGACATCGTCTTCCTGATTTCCATATTCTAAGAATAGATAGCAGTTTGGGATTGATGATCTGTCATCCTTTGTTGAGGACACTCTAAAACTGAGCAAAATTTATTCTGTGATGCTGCCTGTGCATCTCGCAAGATCTCTATCCTCAGGAGTATACTGCAAATCAGTGACCTGGAGACACTAATGGTAGAGAGAAACATGAAAGAAATTCTAATTAATATGGTTTATCGATGCCTGAGCCTTGTTCATGCAGAAGGAAGTCTCACAGTATAAAATGAGAAGCTATTCAGCATTGCTCATGTGGGGGAAGTCTTGTTTCTGAAACAATGAAGTCAGATATTTGGACAGTGATGAGATGACAGTCTATAGCAGATATCCAGTGAAGCAAAAATATTACAGAGATGTTAAAGAAAGAAACAGGAAACACAGAAAAAAGCATCAGGTGGAGATATTTCTACAAAGAGCAAGAAGTAGGAGAGACAGAGTCAGAGGAAAGTGCTTACAATATGGGCATTTCATAAACACGTAAATTTGAGAAATTACAAAGCCTTTAGGAATGAGGTCATTTATATAAAATATGGGGCTTTCCATGGAGCCAAGTGTAATCCAAGGAACACTGATTTGGGCTAATACGACGAAGAGCAATGTGTGACCTCATTCTGTTCTTAAAATAAGCCTTATCTCTTCTACTGGGGAATTCTGCAGTTTTCATCTTTCTCACTTTTCCCCTTTTAGATCTGCTGGAGGTCAACTATGAAAAACAGGACCATGCTGACTGAATTTATTCTACTGGGCCTCACAAGTCAACCTGAACTTCAGGTGGTGATGTTCATCTTTCTGTTTATCACCTACATGCTCAGTGTCCTAGGAAATCTAACTATCATCATCCTCACCTTACTGAATTCTCAGCTCCAAACCCCCATGTATTTCTTCCTCCGGAATTTCTCCTTCTTAGAAATTTCCTTCACATCCATTTTTATTCCCAGACTTCTCACCAGCATGACAACAGGAAATAAGGCCATCAGCTTTGCAGGCTGCTTCAGTCAGTATTTTTTTGCTATATTTCTTGGGGCAACAGAGTTTTATCTCCTAGCTTCCATGTCCTATGATCGTTATGTGGCCATCTGCAAACCCCTGCATTACCTGACCATTATGAGCAGCAGAGTCTGCACACAGCTTGTGCTCTGCTCCTGGCTGGGGGGACTCCTTGCTATCGTACCGCCAATCACCTTGATGAGTCAGGTAGATTTCTGTGCCTCCAATGTTCTGAATCATTATTTCTGTGACTATGGGCCCCTCCTGGAGCTGGCCTGCTCAGACACAAGTCTCTTGGAAAGGATAGTTATGCTTGTGGCTGTGGTGACTCTAGTGATTACTTTGGTTCTGGTGACAGTTTCTTACACATACATCATCAGGACTATTCTGAGGATCCCCTCTGCCCAGCAAAGGACAAAGGCCTTTTCCACTTGCTCTTCCCACATGATTGTCATCTCCCTGTCTTATGGCAGCTGCATGTTTATGTACATTAATCCCCGTATAAAAGAAAGAGGTGCTTTCAACAAAGGAATAGCTGTGCTTATTACTTCAGTCACCCCCATGTTGAATCCCTTCATTTATACATTAAGAAATCAACAAGTAAAGCAAGTCTTCAAAGACACTGTTAGAAAGATTGTGAAGTTTTAAGAAAAAAAAGAACACCCTTCAATGAAAAATGTATTTGTACTTCATAAATATATATTTAGAGTCTACTAAATTTCAAGGGTTGAACTGGCTCTTGAAGATAAAAATACAGAAATCATGTGTTCTAATGGTCAAGGAATCTACAATCTAGAGTAGAGGTAAGGAATATAGACTATACATTTTTGGATAAATTTACAAAAAAAGAAATGAAATGACATAGTAAGTGCTACTAGAGACAGGTGAATGATCCAGCAAAGAACAGAAAGACTTAGCACTTCTTTATAGAAATGACTTCAAATTTAAGAAGCAAAACACTGCTTGTTAAGTAGAAGTGGTAAAGAATCTGGGGTGATGAAGAAGGCCAGATCATAAAGTATGTAATTGCAAACTGTGGGGTTAGTTGAGTGCCATGAGTCAGAGGAGTGTGAGAGCTGTGGGGGGAAATCTGGGGCAAATCAGGACAATTGCAACAGTAGTGCGGTGTCATAACATCCAACACTCAGGATACTTGGGTTCTAGTTCCAGCTTTTTTTTTAAGTGATGAAAGTTTAATACATTAAAATGATATTTATAAAAAAGAAAAAAGAACAAAAAAGAAATGCCTTATGAGCCAGGTGTAGTGGTGCACACCTGTAATCCTAGCAGCTCAGGAGGCTGAGACAGGATTGCGAGTTCAAAGCCAGCATCAGCAAAAGCTAGACACTAAGAAACTCAGTGACACTAAGCCTGTCTCTGAATAAAATACAAAATAGGGTGGGGATGTGGCTCAGTGGTTGAGTGCCCCTGAGTTCAATCCCCAGTAACCACCCCCCAAAAAAGGGAAAAAAAAATAAACTCCCTGTGGCCATCAGCATTGTGAGGCACTGACCTTGTTCCTCAGTCCCAGAGACTGAGGAACTTCCATTAAAGTGTAATTTCATTTCTTTCCCTTTATCATTTAGGTATCAGTTGTAGCCATTGCAACCTCCATCTCTTTGTAAGAGGAAAATGAAAGGAAAGAGTACACATTTAGTCCACATCATTCAAATTAGAAAAAAAACTCTCTAGATTTTGTCACCTTACATACCCACTTTCTAGAGGTTAGGGTTAAAAGAGGCTCCTAGAGGAAGGTTAGAAACCTGTCTATTTGTGCCTCTCCTTGACAGAATCTATTGTTTATTTTATTAGATGACATATTTTAAGTTAATAGCAAGAGATTTTCTCTCTCTTTGATAGTTTCTGGTGATGTTTTTTATTTATATGCATTAATTGTAAACATTAATAGGATTCAGTGTCATATTTCAAATGCATGCATATACTGTACACTGATCAAATCCAGCCTCCCTTTATCCTTTTATGGTTTTATTTTCATCCTTTTGTTTATATTGATTAGATATTAGAAAACATAAATTTTGTGATCTGCTCCATTTCATTAATTTTCTTCAAATATACTGCTTTTGTTGCTAACATAAAACACCACAGATATCTATTCTGTGAAGTGAAGATAATATAAGGTATGGATTTAGTTTTATATCTAGAATATTCCAAATTATGAGCCTTGGAAAATAGCTGGGAATAAACTACCCTACTAAAGAAAACTCAGCAAATGGATTCAAGGTAACAACTTAAATTTTAACAGGTATTGGTACCACCTTGATTTCAATGGAAGGACATTTGTTTTTTAATCTGAGCATGTCTATGCAATTCAATGATATCCTAACACATTGTGGGATGTTGTTTACTCTTTTGAGTACAAATGCAACATAACCCACTACATCAATATACTTTATAGGTTCTAACATGAGCAGCATGGTGCTTCTCAAGCATTTAACATAAAAGCTGGATTGTACTGATCATAAATACAAATTGTCAGACCCACAGAAAGTATTGGAGCATATACAGTATTGCTGAATAAAAGGTCCTGTATGGAAAGCCTCTGCTAATATGAATGTCTAGTAATTAATTTGATTTTCAATTTATTCCAGATTCATTGAGGTAACATTTAACTGATACAGAATATTCTTAAACAGTCACACCTACATTGTTAAGTTCCTCCACATCCAAATTTCTCCAAAACCATGTGTGGTAAAGTAGAAGCAATGCCACCAGTGGTTTAAAACACAGGCTTTAGTTCAAATCTCCAACTCTCAATGATCTATCAGAATTACCTAGGGTTATTTTCTTGAACTTTATAAAGCTTATCTTTATCAACTCTAAAATATGGATATTAACAGTGTCTATATGTAGGGTACTGGGAAGAATACATATAAATTGATTGCTTTAATATAACTAGGACTATAAAACATTGGCCATTTTACTTGAAATCCTTCTGCAATAAAACACATATATTCTACTCCTCCTGTGTCTAATTCCATGCCTAGATCACCAGATCAGTGAAATTCTTGCCTATGTTCCAGATAAAGACATCAGAATAGCCAATAACAAATCATTAGAATTTGGTTAACATTAGCCTCATGTACACTGAATATCTGTGGGAGAGAGGAAATATATGAATATGCTGGGAGAGAGTGGTAAGCACACCATGTAAGTCAGTGCTTAAAATCACAAGGCAGGATATCACTATCTTCATAAAAATGTTTAAGGTTTAATAGTTAAGATATGCATTCATTTTAACTTGATTTCTATAACTGGAGAGAGTCAGGAGAATACTTTCAGAATTCTGCATGTTGATATCCAATTCTCCCAGCACTATTTAGGGAAAAACTGTCTTTTCTCCAATGTGTGTTCTTAGAATCTTATCAAAAATCAGTTGGCTTAGATGTGTATGTTTCTATTTTCTTCTAGGCTATTTTGCGCCACTGGTCTATGTCCCTGTTTCTGTGCCAACACTATGCCATTTTGATTACTAGAGTTTTACACTGTGTTTTCAACTTAGGTAACAGGATGACTCTGGCTTCACTATTTTTTGAATGGCTATTTGGGGTTGATTGATTTGGCTATTTGGGGTTTTCTGTGGTTCCACACAAATTTCAGAATTGTGCTTTCAGGTTTTGTGAAGAAGTCGTTGCCATTTTGATAGAGATTTCATTAAAATGTAGATGGTTGGACACATTATAGACATTCTAACAATATTGATCCTTCTAACCCCAAAACATAGGATATCTTTCCATTTTTGTATGTGTGTCCTCTTCAATTTCTTTCATCAAAATTTTATAATTTTTATTATATAGAGAAATTTTGCACCTCTTTGCTTAAATTTATTCATAAGCATCAATTTTTTAACTATTATAAATAAAATTTCTTTCTTGATTTCTATTTCAAATAATTTGCTATTGGTGTATTCAAATGCTATTTATTCTGCATGTTCATTTTGTGTGCAACTTGAATGAAATTGTTAGTTCTAGTTAGTTTTGGGGGCAGTTTGGAGGTCTTTCTTTATATATAAGGTCATGTCATCTTCAAACAGTGACAATCTGACATCATCAGGGTGTGTGCCCCACTGCACTACACCAGAGGCAGGAACCTCGTCCACGTAGTACTTCTCATGACCCAGACAGCTCCATTAGAGACCCAATCCAACTGTGTTCTTCCCCCAGTGCAGTGAATGAATTGCTCTGCTGAGCTGCTGCTATGCCCCCCACCCCACTGTGCTTCCCATGGAGACTAAAAGGTACATGCTGCACAGACTGTGATGCATTACCTAGGCACATTAGAGTGACCCCAACCCACACACAGGCCCTAGAGATTGGCAGGGGCATGACACATACCACAGGCAACCTTCCCAAGCTGCCAAGTGAGCTGCATTACACCTGTCTGGTGCAAGTAGAAGAGCGCCCCCCCCCCACCTTGGGAAACCTGTGGATACTGACAGGTGACCTCCTGCTACTATGCTTGCATACAATAGATGATTAATAGAAAAGTGAGAAATAGTTGATAGAAAGATGACAGATCAATAATAGATACATAATAGATAGAACCAAATAATATTTTCCCCTAAGATGGCATCAAATTAAAAAGCTTCTGCATAGCAGAAGAAAGAATTAGGAATGTGAAGAGAGAACCTACAGAATCAAAGAAAATCTTTGCTCACTACTCTGTGACAGAGGATTAATATCTAGAATATATCAAAAACTAAAAAATACTTAACACCAAAAAAATCAAATAACCTAATTAATAAATGAGCAAATGAATTAAACTCTTCTCAAGATAAAAACTAGAAATGGTCAACAAATAGATGAAAAATGTTCAACATCATTAGCGATTAGGAAATGTAAATCAAAACTACACTGAGGGATGGGCACAGAGGCTCACACCTATAATCCCAGAAGCCTGGTTTGGAAAGCTAAAGCAGAAGGATTGTGAGTTCAAAGCCAGCCTCAGCAAGGGTAGGTACTAAGCAACTCAGTGAGATCCTGTCTCTAAATAAAATACAAAATAGTGCTGGGGATGTGGCTCAGTGGTTGAGTGTCCCTGAGTTCAATCCCTGGTACCAAAAAAAAAAAACTACACTGAGATTTTATCTTATACCATTCAGAATGGCAAGCATCAAGCATACAAATAATAATAAATTCTAGAGAAGATGAGGAGAAAAAGGAATACTTTTACACTGTAGTGGGATTGTAAATTAGTACAATTACTATGGAAAATCAGTATAGAGTTTCCACAAAAGATTAGGCATGGAGCCACTATATGACCTAACTATACCAGTCCTGGTTTTTTATCCAGAAGAATTAAAGTCATCACTCTATAGTGATCCACGAATATTATGGTTATAGCAGCAAAATTCACAATAGCCAAACTAGGGAACCAGTATAGATGCCCATCAGTGGATGGAAACATAAAGAAAATATGATAGTGATGTACATATGCAGAGAGAGAGAGAGAGAGAGAGAGAGAGAGAGAGAGAGAGAGAGAGAGAGATAGTTTTATTCCATCCTAAAGAAAAATTAAAGTATGTCACCTGCAGAAAAATGGATAGAATTTGAGGCCATTATGTTAAGTGAAATAAGCCAAACTTAGAAGGTCAAAGACAACATGTTTTCCCTCATATTTGGAAGCTAGAGAGGTAAAAGGAAAAAGGGGTGGCAGGGGTTTCATGAAAAAGGAGATCATTAGAGAAAGGGAGGAGGGAAAATTTGGGAAGGAACAAGGAAGTGCCGGGGAGTGATATTTGCCACGTTACATTGTTCTATTGTGTGCAGGCAGGAGTCTGTAACAACACCATGAATGTAACAACATGGAGGGACATAACAGTATGTTCAACTGTAATGCACCAGAGAAAAAATGTGGAAGGAGTGAAAAAAGAATCCCTCTAAAAAAGATGAACATCCTGACATTTTTTACAATATGTATGAACCCAGAGAACACTACTCTAAATTAAATAACTCAGACTCTAAAAAAGATCGTTATTTAATCTCTTGTATGAGGAATGTAAAATAGATAAAAAGCAGAAGAGAAACAGAGAATAGAATAGTGACTGTGGGTGGGAGAAGCAGGGAGATGTTTGGTCAATGGGTACAAAGTTTGCAAAGCAAGACAAGTAGCTTCTGGAGATCTAAGGCACAACAATATGACTAAACTTAGCAATGCCATGGCACACATTTTAAATGTGTTAAGAGAGTGAATTTTAAGTGTCCTCACCATGGAAAGAGAGAAAAACTATGAGGCAAGAGGAAGAAAACATAGGCGGCAGCAACGGCAACTCTGCTGCCTAAAAGAAAGAAAATTTAATATAAGACAGAGTTTGAACAACAGTTTTTCATAAGGAAATAGATGAAATATCACTATTCAAAAAGTTAGATGATAGACTATAACAAATAATAACGCATTGCATTACCCAAATTTTTTAATTCACAATGGACATATTCACAATGAACAATGTAAATTAGACCAAAGAATTTTAGTAGAGATAACAAATTGGAGGGTGATAAAAAGCTCTATTCTTTAAGAAAACATAACTTCTCTAAGTGTTTGTGCATAGAATAATGCTCCAAAACATAAGAAGTATAAACTGATTAAACTACAAGGAGAAAAAGACAAA